TGTATATGTTGGCTCCACTCAAGAACTCCCTAAGCCTGGAAACATGCCTAGTCAATTGTTCAATTTGTGTTGTATAGGTAGATAATAGATAATAGACTTTGTCTATTATATCAAATAGACAAAGGAAGCCATAGACAAAGAGATAGGACAAGGAAGTAAAGAGATCCAGACTCATGGAATCAAGACACCTGATTCTACACAAGAGTCACCGGTGACCTTTCACAGTGGTGGTAATTTTATGGGGACAACACCTGAGAGAAGAAATCAAACATTGTACAAAAATGAACAATGATATAAAAATATATAAATAAAATAAAATGAAAAAGAAAAAAATTAAAAGACACCTGGATCTAGTCCTTAGCTGTGCCACTAACTAGAGTTAATGTGGACAAGTCACCTAAGCTCTGGGTTTCATAAGTGGCAAATGGTTGCTAAGATCCACCCTTTCTTCCTTTTTCCTTTTCATTGTAAAGTTCATTCATTCATTCCTAAATGAGATTGGAAACTCTTTTCTGACCTTATTATTCTTCCAACTGAACTGAACAAATTCAACAGTGTTTTATAATTCCTGACCCTTTAAAAAATGAATTACAATTGAGGCATCTACTTGAACAGAGCCATTTTTAAAAGAAAATAAACACACGCACTTAAATCTAAGCAATATCCTTGCAATATCTCCCTTGTGGATATGTAAACTTTTAACCTTTTACCTTGAATAGCGTTTCTGCACTTGTTCTATTCAATCAGCAATAAAAGTCAGATATGTCACTCTGTATAGTTTTTCACTTAGCAACGTATTGTAAATTCCAAGTTGAAAGGAGTTGCATTTTTCTTGTTCAGTCTTTTTACATTCTACTGAAAAAAGAAGTTAAAGTTAGTTTATCAAAATGAGTAGTTTATGCCTTAAAATTCTTCTAAGAACAGAGAAAAATTAATAACATCCATTCCATTTTAGACTTCGGTCTCAACATTTGTGAAGGATATAAAGCACTAAGGGGAGATAAGGTCTTACTAATGCTATTACACATTTCTCATTTCTAAATTTCAACATATTTAAGGTCTCTATAATTGTGCTTGAACCATTGTTTGCTAAAGTAAGTTAATCTAAATATTTTCAGAGATTTTAAAACCCATTTTGTTATCTACAATCAATTTCAAGATATAACATTAAGTACTCACAAAAGATGAGGAGGATTTTCTATTTTATAAAAATCAAAAAATGAAGGGGAAAAAGTAATTTAAGTAAGGTAAAACAAAGTGGAAAATAGAACATAGAAAATTCTAAAAGTCAACAAAATATTATGGAATGATTCCAAACTAGCAAAAGTGGGAAAGCAATGATCCATTACTTTAAATTACATATTGAAATAAAATTACTAATTTTGAGGGGGTATTATTTCTAATTTCATGTTTCATAATACAATTGTCTTGAAAATCCATCAGCCTTCATTAGCCAAATGAAATTTCCAGAAAAACTAAGTTTGAAGCGGGGGGAGGCGGGGGGGGGATCCAGACTTGTAACCCAAAACACAATATAGTTTCACATCTGTGTCTACATCTGAAGTTGCTCTGCAAGATCTGATAACTTGTTAGAAAGCAATCTTTTTTTGCAAGGCAATGGATTTACATCATACATTTTCTTTCCAGGGAAATTCTAATTACTGGCTCCAATCATTTCATATTGATGTGCTTTTTATTCATCCAAGGTATTTTCTGTTCTGTGATGAAGTCAAGCCATCAATAAAATTCCAAAAATTTCAGAACAATTTACAAGCTCCAGATGACTGAAAGTTTTCTCATGTCTGTTTGGCATTCAGAAAAAGAGCTTCACCAAATATATTCTTAAGAGTACATCTGGCACTCACTAAAACAAGGAACTCATCAATGACATACTTGAGGCAAATTAATGTCACATAAATGCAAATTTGCCAGTGTTCTTTATGGTCAAAGCTGCATTCCAACCTCCATGTATTTCACTGACAACTTTTCTAAAACACAGGCCATGGGTTAATGTTTGGGGGTATTTTAACAATCAACCTAATAAATACACATTATCTTCTGCATACAAATTTTCAATCATATATATATGTGTGTATGTATACATGTGCATGCATGCATATGCATCTACCAGAATAGACTTAGGATCTGCTGAAGGTTCACCCCTTTTCTCTTGGTGCATTGTTGACTCCAATTTGGTGACAAAAATGAGACAGAATCAAAGAATTTTAGCACAAAAACACTATTAGAGGCTGTCTCTGGAAGAAGGATTTGTTTCAACAGTGGTAAGTAAATCAGAAACCCATATGTGTATATACACCATGACAATATTTTCATGGACAATAATGTTAAACTTAACTATTCAAAAATATTGAACTTTTAAGCATTAATAAGAAAACAGTCCAAGAAAATAAATGATTGAATCAACATTATTCTCACAGAAGTATGTTGTCAGGCTATCAGTAGTCAGTGATCAGTTTTGATCATGTCACTAAAAATATTAGTATTTAACAGAAGAACTCATTCTATGAAAGGCAGAGACTTTATACAGTCAATTTTGCTCCAGTACTGACTTCTCCTTCAATAGCTTCATAAGGGAATATATATTGCCTGGTTTGACTACATGGACTGAAAAAGTAGGCTAATTCTGTTATTCATTTCTTAATATTTAGAAGGCCAGAAATACTCATTGTGGGTTAATATTGGAATTCAGCTAGCCTACACCTTAATCAATCACTTCTTAGAACTGAACCACAGTGATAGAAGTATGGGATGCTAATTTTTTTTTATTTAATACCCATTAAAAGTTCTAAGAAATAAGAATTACTAATCTCACCATTTTACATATGAGAAACTGAGACCTAAAGAAAAAAAATAACCTTCCCAAGTTCACATAATCAGTGAGTGGTACTGTCAGGATTAATACCCAAACTCTCTTGATCCAAGTTCTACACTCCACTATCCCCTCACTGGGGGTTTTCGTTGAGTATATCTATCATTTCTGAACCCATCACTGTAACTATAGGAGATCTAATGTTTTGACTGGCAGAATCTAAGTCACATGTTCTTCCACAGAGTGAGAGAAAATACAAGTTCCATGCAAGTGGTATGGGCTAGAAATGATGTATGCTAAACTATGACTCTAGATTCAAGGACAGTAAGAATCAGCCAGGAAAGGAAAATAATTCCATTCATGATCACTTCATAAAGAATCATACACCTCAGAATGGACTTACTCAAGGAGGTAAAGGATTTATATAATGAAAACTATAAGAAGTAACTAAAGTATTTAGATTATGACATAAGGAAATAGAAAGACATTCCATGCTCAAAAATGAGAAACAATATAGTCAAAATGATTATTCTGCCAAAAGCAAAATATAAATTTTACCCAATCCCCAACAAAATGCCTACTGCATTCTTCAAAAGCACTGGACAAAAAAAAAATTTAATTTATGTGAAAACATAGAAGATCTCTGATAGTAAAAATAATTCTGAGGAAAAAAGGAGAGAAACAGGCAGCACATTAACTGATGTTATACTATAAAGCAGCAGCAATGAAAACAATATAGTATTGGCATAAAAACAGACATGTGGATCACTGTAACAGAATCAAAAGTTAAGAAGTAATTTACATACATATCAATATGTAATTCATGGTAAAGGAGTCATGACTATACAATGGGGAGAGTTTCCTTAACAAATGGTGCTAGGAAAACCAGATGGCCACATGTAAAAGAATGAAATTGGATAATTCTCTCACTCCATGTACAAAAGTAAATTCAAAATGAATTAAAGACATATATAATATATGCAACAACAAAAATATATAGAAGAAAACATTGGTGATACTTTTCATGACATCAATGATAAAGATTTTTTAGACACAGCCAGTAAGGCAAGGGAAATAAAAGCAAAAATAAACAATTGGGATTCCTCAAATTAAAAAGCTTTTACATAACAAAAGAAAATATAAGTAAATTGAAAAGGCATCCCACTGAATGGGAGAAGATATTTACATATCACACAACTTATAAGCGGTTAATATGCAATGAATATTTTTTAAATTTATGCAATTTAACAATAAATAAACAACCCAGTTAATAAATGGGCAGCAAATTTGAATGGACAATTCAGCAGAGAGGATATCCAGAAGGCCAGTAGACATATGGAAAAATGTTCATCATCACTTTTAATAAGTTAGATGTAGATCAAAAACCTCTATGAAAATGGCACATATTAAAAAGACCTCCAACAACAAATGCTGAAGAGAACACAGAGAAAAAGGAATCTCTTCATTAAATGTTGATGGGCATATGAATAATGATGCAACCATTTTGGAAAGCAATCTCTATTTACCTTAAGAAATCAGAAATGCAGGGCCTCCCCGGTGCAGCGGTTGAGCGCTGGGTTGCGAAGCTGCCCGCAGCGTCTGCAGCGCTGGTCCGATCCCCGGCCGCTGGGTGACGGTCCCACATGGCGCGCAGACCTCTCCTGCCGCCCGCTGCTCCCCTCAGCAGTGTACCTTGGTCCTTCTGCCTGTTCTGCAACCTGCTCTGGCTCTGGTGAATTCTCTCACCCTCCCGTGCTTCTGACCGTACCCAGTGCTGGTATAAATAAATAAATCAATCTTAAAAAAAAAATCGAAAATGGAAATACTATATGACCCCAAAATTCTAATCTATCAAAAGAACATGAAACTGTCAACTCAAAAAATTACATGCCCTAAAATATTTATTGCAGCATTATTTACAATAGCTCTACAAAGAAACAACCTATATGCCCACTAACAGAGGACTGGACCAAGGAGAAGTAGTATATTCACACAATGGTGTACTATTCAGTCATAAGGAAATATGAAATATTACCATTTACAGAAAAATGGAAGGACTTCAAAGGAATCATGTGTAATGAAGCAAGTCAGAATGACAAGGACAAACATTGGACATTTACATAGTATTCAATTCAACAAAGCAAGATACTTATAAAAACTAGCAGGTTATGTACTTACCTGGCAGGGGAGCTGCCATGATCCCAAAGGTGGTTTTCCCAGGGCGAGGCTTATCCATTGCACTCCGGATGTGCTGACTCCTTTGATTTCCCCAAATGTGGGAAACTCGACTGCATAATTTGTGGTATTGGAGGACTGCATTCACACTCTCCCCTAAAAAGGGGGGGAAAAAAACTAGCAGGTTATATTAAACCAAGTGAGCTTTTCAAGGTTGAGGGAGAGAGGAAGGAGTAGTAGACAAAAGGGCATAAGGGATGATGGTAGATTGAAAAAAAAAATGGTATTAATACAATGAAAAGGCAAGGCAAATATTGTGATAAAACATTTTAATATACATGTATATCTGACAAAGTACTTGCTGCAAATTGCATGAGTTTATCTTTTTTGATTGCTGAGTAATTAATATTCCATTGTGTATATATACCACATCTTCTTGATCCAGTCATCTATTTTTGGCCATTTGGGTTGTTTCCATTGTTTAGCTAGTGTAAATATGCTGCTATAAACATAGGTCTCACTCATAGCAGGAATTTAGAAAACCTAAATAAGGGACCAGGAAAAAGACTAATTATAATAAAGTAAAAATCAAAATCAACACGCAACTATAAACCAGAGACATACTGGGGGGGGGGGGAGGGTGGAGGGAAAAGGATCAAAACAAGGGGGGTGGGAATTGTATGGGAACTATAACCAAGATGAAAATGCATACTTTGTGCAAAAATGTAAAATGAGGTAAAAAATATATAAAATTTAAAAAAAAGAAAGATGATATTTTAATGGATAATAAGTATACTCAACATCACAAGACAGCAAAGAAATATAAAACTACAATGAGATACCACTTATACATTGTCCATAGTAGCTAGCATCATAAGTGACTGGCAATACCAGGTGTTGGCAAGGATGTGGAGCAAATGGAATCTCACATAATACTGGTAGGACTGTAAAATGATACAGTAACTTTGGGAAACAACTTGGGATTTTCTTATTAAGTGAAATATAGCCCTAACATATGACTCAGTGGTTCCATTACTAAGTATTTACCTAAAAGAAAGGAAAACATATGTCCAAACAATGATTTCTACATTAATGCCCTTTACAACTTTATTTATAAACAAGTCATTTCTTACTTATTTTTAATTGCTATTGAATTACCACTGTTTTATATCTTTGCTTGTGTTTTGACAGTACAGGATTTCCCCCCTCAGGCGTAGTCACCATATAATTCCCACCACCAAAGCACCTGTTGTCCTCTACCATAATCCACTGTGCTCTCCCCCCAAGGCCCCTTTATCTTTCTCCCCCCTCTCCCTTCCCCTTTGAAAGTCACAGATCTTTGGTTAGCTTTCAAGGCCTGGTTTTTAAGTTTGTCTTTGTCAGACTCTTTGTTTGGTTTCTCTATATTCCATTTATAAGTGATACCATCTGGTATTTATCTTTCTCCTTCCAGCTGATTATCCATCAAAGATGAACAGATAAACAAATCAAGGTATATCCATACAAGGGAGTACAACTCGGCAATGAAAAGAAATGAACTTATGTTACGCTTAACAAGGATGCATTTCAAAAGTTTACTGAGTGAAAGAAAACAGACAAGAAAGTACACGTACTCTAGGGTTCCATTTATATGAATGTCTGCTGAAAAGAGTCTACAGAGAAGTAAGGGTGTACTGTTGCAGTGGCTTAGACCAAAAGAAAAGATGAGAAGTGGTCTGACTCTGGATGTATTTTGAAAATGAAGTCAAGAGGGATTTCCAGATAAAAGAATGTTGTATGTAAAAGAAAAACAACAACTCTATGATCTTGGACGTGAGCAAATACAATGATGAAATTGCTATTTAGATGGTGAATGCAGTTGAAAGCAGCTGAATGGAGTAGGTTGGGGGAAAAAGTGAGAATGAACAGACACGTTTAGCTTGAAATGTCCATAAGGTGCTGTAGGAAAACCAAAGTGACTGCATCAAATGGATCCCACATTAGGCCCATGACCAGTAATTGCCCTATCCTGAGAAGACAGCCAATGTCCCCACTGTTTCCGTCACATGTGTTAACCTATACTCACTATCACACATAATTCTATTAATCATAGTAGCACAACAATGAGTGTGACATCTCCCTCTCCCCCCCCCCACATTTGCCATCATCAGTCTTACACGGGAATGATCACATGTACTCATGTACTAAGCAGGGTATAAGAAGACCTCTGTCTGGGTGGATGGTATGGATCCTGCCTCGACTGGAAATCCTGTCCACAGCTGCTGGGCTGAGGATCCCTGTATATAAGTTGCTCTTAATAAACATCATTTGTTATTAACGGACATGTCTTCTTTGTTCTTTGTATTCAAACTACCTCCTCAATTTGGGGAAACATTCATTCCCATAGCTGCACAAGTGTTCAGATGAAAATAACAAGACAGCAGTTGGAAACACAGGAAGATTTCCGGGCTGAGATAGGAATTTGGGATTTTTTTACCCATTTTTCTGGGGGGAAAGGCTGAGGTAGAATGAGTTCAAAAAGAAAAGCAGGAAAGATGCTTTTTTTTTTTTTTTAAGTTTGGATGTCAGTAATAGCTGGCAAAGCAGATTAGTTTGAATTTTTTGGTAGCAAAAATCTCCAATACTACTAGCAAAACAGCATATATTTGAGGAAAGTGCAGGATCATGAAGCTCCTCTGATTTTGTCTGATATTGTGTGACTTGCTACCAAACTGTCAAGTTCTAGGTAATCCAAGGCATGCCCCATAGATAAGGAAAGAGGCTTTGACCTGACAGCCTCTTTCTCTTGTACACTCTACCAACTCACGGCCCAGGGCTGTGGTCCACAGGGAAGAGAAGGCTGCTGCTCTTCTGCCTCCCAGTTTGGGTCAAAGTCCTTAATACCGTCAATTGCACATTGTCTCATTCATGGAATTGTATTTGGAAGTTTGTTTCTTAGAACACATGACTTCCTTGGAAGCAAACTATTCATCTAAGAGAGCTGGAGCCTTCAACGATAAAGTTAGCAAATTGTGTGGTATGACTGGAAGAAAATTTTTCTCTCCCCGGATTCTTGAAATTCCGCATTAGAATAAAAGGTGAGAGTGAAATGTCCAACTTTGAAAGGCAAGGATTGGGAATTCCAGCAAGTGGACAAGTAGAGAGGAAAAAAGCAGTAGATGAGAAAAGGGGGGGGGCCGAAGAGAGAGAGGTTTGAGAGACAGAACAAACCTAACCTCTTAATTTCGCGAGTGTGAATTTGACTTTGCCCATCTCCAGCTCCTGGCACACAGAGGGTCACACTTAGTTGAATGAAGGCTCTTTTCTCCACACGTTTTGCAAGCAGACTTCCTCCTCCTCCTCCTCTCCCCCACCCCCCGCCCCAAAAAAAAGGCTCCAGAAAAAAAAAGCCAAGGAACCATTTCTATTATAGGGGTTAATTTACTCTCCTAAGAGTTCACTTCTTGGGGGGAAAAAACTTAAGCAATTTCTCAGGACCCTCAGAAACTCAGGAGCGATGTCTTCGACTCTGCGGGGCAAGGACAGCTGGCCCGGAGGCGGGAGCTCACCGAGGCTGGGCGAACACCCGACGGTCGCCCACCGCGCCGTCCACGGCCTCCGGCTCCAGGCGCCCCGGGAATCAGGGGCGCGCAGGAGGGAGCTGGAGGGGCCCAGACCTAACGCTGCAATTTGCTCTCCCGCCGCGGCGGGAGGCGTCGGGCTCAGCCCACGGCGCCTCCCTCGCGCTCCCCTCCCTGCCCCTCCCGCCCCCTTCTCCTCCTCCTCCTCCTCCCTCCCCTCCCCCTCCCCCTCCCCCTCCCCCCCCTCCCGCTCCAGCCGCCGCTGCCAGACCTCGCCAGTGCAGACCCGCCGGGCTGCCCTCCCCGCGCTCCTCTCGCTGCCGGGCCGGTGGCTGCGGCGCCGCCGCGCAGGTAGGAACCGCAGACGCGGGGTCGCGCCGGCTCGCCGGGGTCATCCGGCAGCGCTCCGGGGTGCTAAGTGGGGCGACCTGAGGGGTGTCCCCAGGAGCTCCCAGGGAATGTGCAGCATCTCGGGCACAGAGTGCGGCGAAGGTGCGCGACGCCAGCGCGTGCGGTGCCGGGGTGGCATCTCCCGGGTGTAATCTCCGGGGGGGGCATGTGCGCGCCGGCGAGCGGCCCGCGAGACCCAGCCGCGAGCGCCCGGCGGGCTGTCTCGGGGCGGCATGTGCGAGAGCCGAGACGCACCTGGACTCCGCAGGAGCTGGTTAGAAATTGGAGCGCGGTGCGGCTTCCGGGCACCGCGCCTGTTGGTTTATGGTTAAGAAAAAGGGTCTTGTAACAGGGTGGTCCTGCCCCTCTCCCTGTCCTATAACAGTCTCACCTTCCTGGGGGTCCTTGGCCAGCCCTGTGGCTACCGGAGTAATACCTGGGGTTGCCCTGTGGTGCCCGGATTCTGGCCCTAGCAGCCAGGATTGTGAAGGTAGCATGCGGAAGACAGGGGAATTGATAGGGGAACCGAACACTTTTGGCTGCTCCTTCACACAACCTGGAATTTTTAAACAAAGCTGCGTGCGGAGAACAGCGTGGAAATAGCACTTTCAGAGTTTGTGCTGGGGGAGGTGAGGAGGAACCGTGAGGAGCAGGTATTCTATGATAACTGGAGGTGATTGCTCCCCTAGTTTCTGTTTTGGTGTTTTGTTTCAAAAAAAAAAAAAAAAGTTTGAGGCCAAAGTGATTCATATTGGTTCTCAGGTATTCTGCTCAGCAGTGCGAGGACCTTAACTAACTGGAGGTGAGCTTGTAGGGAAAACCTTAATCTTCAGGGGAATATGAAGGTTGCTGCCCACTTACACCCTTACAAAAAGGAGCATAAGCACCATCTCCTTTGAAATGAACTACTCTTGGAGCTTGCCCTTTCTGGAGCCTGTTGTGTAGGTGCAGTATGAAGTGCATGCTGAATGTCCATTGCATGCATTCAGTGCAACTGAATGGGTGAAGTGAAACACCGTTCTGCAGCCCTTTTATGGGCTTTGGTGCCTCCTTCGCCCAAGTGAAAAGCTGAGGTGGAAGGGAGGCGAGAAAGTAGATTGGAAGTTGGGTATGGTGGAGTCTTAGGCTCCCTGCCCTTCGTTTCTTGCATTATGTTATAGCTAAGAACTTGTATCCCTGCCTCCAGCAGATACTAAGCTGTTGACCCCC